CCCCAAAACCCCAAAACCCCAAAACCCCAAAACCCCATTGTTTAAATAAAACTGAACTATATAATAATTATGGACAAGACTTGAAACATTTATTGAGGGTTCAAAATGAACAAGTTTAGGTACAAGACTCTTCCCAGGCACCCTGCTACTAAAATAAAGGCCAAGAATGCTAAGAAAACTCAGAAGGACTTAAGGAACCGGATCCGCCCTCAATCGAACAGGGTTGATGAAACCGACAGCAAACTACTTTTTCATTGAAAGAATTGTGAATATGATGTCATTAAGGACATTATCACCAGAGATTATGGATTCGAGCTTACTGTTGATGATAACGTGGATTTTGACATTATTTGGCACAACACTGGGCTAAAGTCCAAAGATATTAAAAGACTCAAGTCTCATCAGAAATATAATCACTTCCCAGGTATGTACCAACTGGCCAACAAAAATAACCTGGGCAGGAACTTAATGAAGATGAATAAGATGCATCCCGAGGAGTATAATTTCTTTCCCAAAACATGGGTCTTGCCTAATGATTTCTCGGAATTCTTGAAATATTACAAGAAGAATGAGGGCAAGACTTATATAATAAAGCCAGCGATGCTATCTCAAGGAAAAGGGATATTTTTAACACAGAATTGTGATGATATTAACCCCCGGCAAAATGCAGTCATCCAGGAATATATTGATGATCCGTTCTTGGTAGATAATCTCAAATTTGACATCAGACTTTATGTGTTTGTCACTAGTGTAGATCCGCTTAGGATCTACTTATTTGATGAAGGTCTCGTCAGATTTGCGACTGAGGAGTATCAGGCTCCAACAGAAGAAAACATGAAATAACATTTATATTCATTTAACAAATTATTCCTTGAATAAGAAAAATAAGAATTTTGTTGTTGATGATGAAAATGGTGAGAAAGGCTATAAAAGACCACTGAAGCAATTCTGGGCTTCTCTTAAGAAAACAGGAATTGACACTGATGTAATCCATGAAGAGATAAAAGACATAATAGTTAAAACTTTCCTTGCAGTCCAACCTCAGCTCTCTCATGAGTACAAATCATGAATCTCAGACGATCTTGATGGGACCAACTGTTTTGAAATTTTGGGATTTGATATAATGCTAGATGAAAAACTGGACCCCATATTAATAGAGATTAACCATGCTCCAGCTTTTGGAACAGATTCTAATATTGATTTTACTTGAAAGTCCAAACTTATCAGAGATTCCTTCCGAATGCTGAATATGTCTCTCAAACGCAAACAGAAGGTTAAATAAAGAGAGGAATAAAATATCCAAGAATCGTCTGCTGAATTTGAAGAAAGAATATCCTACCATGGATAATCGCGAGACAAAGCGACTCGTTAATACCTCCAGACACAAATATGAAATGGATGCTAAAGGAAATTATGAGCTCTTATATCCAATACTGACTAAGACTGGAGAGATTATCCCTGATATAGGAGACAATTATTCTGTGAGTTGCTTCTCAAGACTTTCTACCAAATCTGCATCAGTTACTTCAAGTATGAATGAAGAATTTAAGAAATTCCAGAATGAGCAATCAAACCTAAATGATGAACCTAAGCCTGAAGAAGCTACTAAAAATCTCTCAGAGGAAGAAAAATTAGCCAAATAAGTATAAAAACTTTGCACAAGATGCTTTTCAGGTCTGGGATGACCTAATGAATGGCTGATACAGAACCAGGACGAGATTCTTGGTCTCAGAAGACCCTGAATTAAGAACAAGCAAGAAGTCAGGTTTGGGTTCATCCTCAAAGAGGATCGATCTTTCTGCTAAAAGAGTGATTAGAAATAAGGAAGTTCCAAAATCTAACTTTGTCAAGACTAATATTAGAAATAAAAGATCGACTTTCCACCAACCTCAGAGACAGAAAAATAGTTCATGAGTGATATTTGGCCAGAAATCAATATCAATAACAACTGATCTGAGCTCTCGAAGAACTTCTCAAGGAGATCTAAAGTCAGTAGCTGAAGGTAATGGGTGTCTTCCTATTATCTCTGAAGGGAAATTCAAGCTAAAGGGTCGAGAAGCTTTTCATCAGAAAGAAAGGATTCCTCAATCAAGTAAGCATTCTCTGCCAAAATTACCCAAAGTCCTCTAATCCTCACTAAATATGAGTTAATAGTTTCAAAATTTGAAAGTTCGAAAGTTTCAAAATTACATTTCCCAACAGGGGTTTTGGGGTTTTGGGGTTTTGGGGTTTTGGGG